TATATATATATATATATATATATATATATATATATATATATATATATATATAGATACATAGAGAGAGAGAGAGAGTGAGCTAGAGGAGAATTAAAATGAGGTAGAATCTATCAGTAAAACAATACAAACAATTCAAACAAATGAATAATATAACAAAGACTTACCCTTAGATAATCGAAAAATACACAAAGACAAATCTATAATAACAAGAAACAGAAATCTGCATAAAGCCAACGATCTATAATCGTTACTCTGTTATTCTAATTTTTATACAATTATATATATATATATATATATATATATAGTATAGTATGTAGTAATAATAATTATTAGGAAAAAACATAAAAATGAGATGAATATACCAATACTCATTGAAATAAATTTATTACCGAATACGGATTTTATGGTTTTCCTAATTATTATATATGTGTTTTTTTTTTTATATATATATATATATATATATATATATATATATATATATATATATATATATATCATAATTAGGAAAACCATAAAAATCCATATTCGGTAATAAATTTATTTCGATGAATATTAGTATATTCATTTCATCAGACCGACTAAATTTTCTGAAATGGAAACAATATATCCAGACAGGGAGAGATACAAGTATAAAAGCAAGGGAATAAAATACATGAAATAAGAGCAAAAATAAATTGACCTTGGAAAGTTTTCTTTAAGAAGAGAGAGCAAGTTAAAATAACGGGTAAGGGAAGGTAAAAGGATAGGAAGTTCAAATTGTTACAGTGTTACAATGTGTTAAAATAAAGTTTATAAAATGAGGATGTTAAAATAATGTCTGTATAGGCTGCATCATCGCCATTACATAATATAATCATCTTCACATAATACTATTACTACTACTACTACTAATAATATTAAAAATAATAAAATATACAAAACATAAATGCATACATATATACCTATATATAAACTATATGTAACAAAAAATTTAAAGTTAATAATAAAAAAACTCCATAAAATCATAATAATATCTAAAAATATATATATATGTGTGTATATTTCTCTCACGGAGGCACAGTGGAGTAATGGATAGCGGCTTGGATTGAGGAGAGCCGAGTTCGAATTCCAGTCGAATCCATTACATTCTAACACCCTTGGGAAAGGTGTGAATCCTCTTTCTTCTCCCTCCAGCTATGGGTAAATAGCAGGACGGACTTGGTTCTATAGCCTTGGATGGCAACTGGTCTAGGAGAAGGAAAAACTCTGAATTCAAAACCTGCTCTTAGAGGAGGGTGAATGGAGTCTCTCTGAGCCTTGGTTGGCAATCCATTTAGTGTTGGTGTCACGATAAAAAAACACCCTTGATAGCCCTAGGGAAGCATCAAGAATTCAGCTATTTGACAAGATTATGAACTACACCAATCAAAGTATTGGTGAGTTCAATCTCGGCTGAGGCCGCAAGATGATGATGATGATGTATTTCTCTCTCTCTCTTTCTCTCTCTCTTTCTCTCTCTCTCTCTATGTGTGTGTGTGTTTGCGTGTGTGTGTGTGTGAATGTATGTATTCATATACATATTCTATTAATGAGAACATATGGACCTACCAGACAGTCAGCTGCAATTCCAGCCCATACATTAATCGGAAATTGATGATGTCTAGCCTGTATTGTACCACCGATTCGCCCACAAATGTTAGTCGTTTAAATTTGTTATTCCATCTCTTCCAAATGTTGCCTCATCCGTAAACAAGACAGAAGAGACAAGCAACAGATCTGCTGTTTGTACAAAAGTTCTCCAACGGTGAGGGCGAAAGACCTTGCACACGTTGCAAATGATACGGAAAGTACCCTCCATGCGGTGCTATGAGATGTACGGCATGCTCGAGCCACTTGATGTTTACTGATGCCTCGTTCGTCCCCGGCATCCTTTAGAATGCGTTTTTCGTAGTCAGGCGTAAGAGTGGATCTCGGTCTTCTTCGATCCATAGTTTGTGGTGCCACGGATTCTGTCTTAGCAACGCGACGATAAATAGCAGCAAAGGTTGGGTGACTCAGCTGTCTGGAAACGCAATCTGATATAGCCATACAGCCTCGCTCTATTTTATAAATACCTGCTTCAGAAATTGCCACAACTGTTCCTCCCAATATATTGGTGAAACAAGTTGAAGTTTAAAAAAACGCATTTATGAACACAAAAGAGACCTCACAAAAAACAACAGCTAATGCACTAGTCATACATAGAAATAAATTCAACCATAATTTTGATTTTAAAAATGCTACACTCATAAGAAAAAGAAAATAACTCACTCAGAATGAAAATTCTAGAGAGTGCCGCCATAGAAAATTACCCAAATATTAATCTACGCCCAGGTTTTTTCCCCCATCTCACCTTTCTTAACAAAATTACTGCACTCACAAACAAATGTACACAACAGATTTATAAAATCAAAAGAAAATGGTTGAATACATCAACACAGATATAATGACAATATTCTTCACACGTGACAAATATTGACGTTATTTTCAGTTAATAATTTGAAAATAGCATTTCTCTACATTCCAGTTGCTAGGAACATTCTTTTTTTTGTTATTAGTTACCTTGTTCAATTAAATTCATTTCGTATTTTACTTTGATAAAGTCTACATTGGACGAAACGCGTCAGCAATTACCAGTTTTCCTATTGTCATTTTTATTCATAAATATTGTCTTCTCTACTGGTTAAATCGGAGAAATTTTCATATTTATACCATTGTTAAACGGAACACTTCTCGGTTAACTCATTACTACACATGTTAAACGTTGGAGGCAGAGTAGCCACAAATGTACTCGAATGACAAATATAACCCAGTCTTCATGGCAGCACAGCACAATAGACCTTAAACTTAATTTAAATGTCAATATCTGTCTAGATCTCTGACGTGAGGTATTAAGATTATTTACATTATTTGGACTTTTATCTTCATTGCCATATTCACAAAGTTTCCGCCGTTGTATGCTCCTGCCTTCTTCACGTAAGTGGAATTATTTCGTCCACCGAGGTAGATTGTTCTACTTCTACGTACCATACCTCTTCCCGATGTGTCAGTTATTTCCCTTTAACTCAGCTCTCCAAGTTTTTTGGGTCACCACTGCTGTAGCTTGATATTGACCTCACAACTCTTTGGCTCTAGTCCCTGGATCTAACCAACGCCTTTATCCACTGGGCCATGTGTCTTTCTGCGAATTATAAACCTAATGTCTCAGCAACAATATTTTTTACCAGTGCTCATACTGCAATATTTCTGTTATTATTACTGCGTATTTTTTAGCATAACTTATATTGC